ATATTTTTTAAAGTTACTTCTACTTTTTTTATTTCTCCGCATAACATTTCAGATGATAATTTGCTAAAATAAACCTGTAAGCATAGTTTAGTTTAGTCCGATATTGAAATACGTAAAATAAGTGACTTCTTTACCTGCATATATGGAGCTTTCTTAATGACACTCATCTCTAATCTATAATCTGCAGCATATATTTGTACGCCTGGCTTTTCTTTGACATTTTTTAATTTGGGTCCTTTGATCTCGAACAATCGTTTTCCAGCAACAGAAATGCTTGGATTCGCAATAGGTGCGTCTAACATTGCATGAATTGGATTAGACATGTTGTACTTCAAACCCAAGACTTTGACCTGTCCTACTTGCTTAGGTATCAGAGATAATACAATACGTTCTTTACAAACTGGATGTAATATTATCGAATGGATTACTTGCGTGTCAACCGATTCCGATTCCGACGATCTTTCCAATACATTTGTTTCATTAGTAACAGAATGATCGCTACTTGTAAATGACCACAATAAAGTTACGTTGGATAACGGTAATGGTATATGCAGTGGATTATGTAATTCAATAGAAAAATGCACTGGCTCATTCAAGACGGCATTTGGTTTGACAGTATTATTACTTATACTCGAATACAATATAATGGATGGCTTAAATATCATAGGTGGTGTTCCCTGAGCTTCGATTATAAGTATTTCTTCCATCTTTGACCATCTTACATCGTCTGTTTCTTCGTCGTCTAGTGATACATGACTCGCCGAAATACTATCTTCGGTCGATTCGCATAAATGCCCATATAATACCTTAATCTTGCTGCTATCTATTAATGGTAAAGGCAAAACAGGAAGCTCCTGGTTATTCGTAGCATCTTCTTGAAGTAATAACTATATAGAAACACATAATGGTTTTATTCGATCATTGGGAAATTATCATCGATATTGCTTCATTTCATACGCGCAAACTCACATTATGAGTATGTAAAAATTCTCGTAAAAAAGCAGCTTGTTGCGGTGCTGGTTGTTTACTATTAGCATTCAATAATTTTTCAAATGCCTTGACAGATTCTTTAACTTGCTTTAAAGAAGCTGCTTGCCTACCAATGGTAAAATGTATATGATCTTCTGCCAATGACCATCCTCTGTCACGATATACCTAATAAAAATAGTAATATAATATATTGTAACGATTGTACTATTATAATGATATTAGATAGAAAAAAATATCTAATCGATATTACCTGATAAGCTTGCTGATAACATCTTAAAGAATGTTTTCGTTGGCCTGCTTTTGAAAATCTATGCCCAGCCAAGACAGCATGAAATGCATACTTTCTCATCATTTTGGGACCAATAAAACAATAAGCAGCTTGTTCGAGAAGTAAAGCCGAACGCAAATCAGAATCTTCGCACGTCATACGTATTAACTGTTTGGCTGCTTCCCCGTATAATCCACGGCCCTTCAAGCACTCAGCGCTGAGCAATGTTGCTCTCGTTGCAAATTGGGGCATCTTACAACTATTTGAATAAGTTAATATTGCATCATCCATGTACTCTATTGTTTTTCGATTCATTTCACCTTGCATGAAAGCGCTCAAACCAGCCATTTCTAGAGCACCCGCGTAATAAAGCCATGCTTGATCGCCTGCAAAATCTCGTTTTGCGCTATGATATGCTTGATAAGCCAGCGAATAATGACCAAATATAAAAGACAAGTCACCCAAACGACGCAATTGTAACTCGGAAGACTCTGCGGTATAACTGAAATTGAAATACATTTGAAATTTGATGGTATAGCAATTGGTAAATAATAAATTTTTATGTTGTTTCTAGAGACATACAAATAGGACATACATCACAGCATTTAATGGAGCGGATCCAGGCGCTCCTGGTTTATTTGTACCGAATAATCTTCTTGTTGCGCTAAAAAGTGATCTACTAACACCCTTTTTATTCGAAATAACGTCATTTAATAAACCAATTTGTTTCTCAACATATGGCAATAAACTCTTCAAACAAAATTCTGTTATGAGTGACCTCAGTCTTTCAAGATCTTGCGTAGATAATCTAGCACCGTGTTGTGCAGCAATGTAATTTGGAGAATCTGCCCAAACATTGGCATTGATTGGTGAATTACTAGATATATGAGCTTTAATATTAGCAGTCAAACTAATATTATGTAACTTGTCATTCTCCGGACTAAGCGGGTGAATAGTTACAGAGACTGCTTCTTGTCCAACTTCTAATTGCACGTTGCTAGCAGGTTCTGACATTTCAGAAGAAAGGCTTATCGTATCGGCTACATCTGGAGAAACTAATGCATTGTTTTGCGGAACAACCGGTGTTCCAGCTTGACTCGATCTGTAATAGATTAATATAATAAATGAAAGACAATTTGCATCACAACAATTGTATATCTTTTTGTACTTACTTTTCAGACTCTGTTGTCACTTCATTTGGCATAGCAGATACACCTCCCATGTCTGCCGGAGTACGTGGTGAACTATTTTGTTCGCTACCGCTCGATAACTCTGTACGTTTTATTAAAAATTGGCTCCAAGGATCTGGTAAATGTGAATTGTCATCAATTTGTCCCGGTGGTCGTGAATTCATTTGTAAAAGGAAACAATTATTAGCACCATAAATATTTTTCATCTCTGTAAAAACAGTTTCTGCCCTGAAAAGAAGATTAATCAATATAGTAATCACAAATAAATTATTTCTATTATATATATAAATAAGAAAAGGACAAATTGTATTTAATTACTTATTTTTATCGTCCAGTAAGGCATCATGTATTAGGATGTAATATCTTAATGCATTGTTATTAAACCACTTTGGTAATTTCCCAGGAATACTTTGGTGTAATTGTGAACCCATTGCTTGTACTTTGTCTAAAGGATTATCATCTGCCGTTGAAACAACAATCATACAAGCTAGAAAGTGTCTTGTAAATTCATGATCCGAAGGAAACTGCACGCTAAGAAACATTTCTCTCCATGCTTCAAACCATGGAACGGATATAGGAATATCTAAATCAATGGTTCCAATACGAATAACGGTAGTACGATCGCACATGGACAAACTAACAGCTTCATTTAACATTTTCCTTGCGACACTGGGTTCAGGCGGATGTGCATTAACATCTTGTATAGAAAGTCGAAGATTTCTAATGGTTACAACATTTCCTTGTGGATCCTTCAAATGTCCTAGAATAGTTGTACAATGCATAGAATATAACACTTATAAATGGGTTACAAAGATAGTTCGCACTTGGACACATTTATGAAACTACCGAATTTTTTGCTATGAAATTGTAAACGTAGGTAGTAATTATAATAGTAAGAAACAACTGTTTGCTTGAGAAATGATAAAAGACAAAAGGTATTTCTTTTTCTAACTTGTAAACATCATTACCTTCGGTATTTAACTTGCAGAATGGTTGCAAAAGTTCAACAAATGATAAATTATTTTTTTGACATGTCGCATCGGCAGCAGATGTGCATACTGCAGCAATTTGTGGGGAAAAGGTATTGCTGATAAACTCCCGTGGGGTTAACTTGCATTGAGCCATTACTATTTCTTATGATTATTATTATACTTTTCTCCTTTTTCTTTTTTTAGTAAACGAACGAACGAATTTTTCTTATTTTTTTTGTATTAAGTACTACGAACACTATGATCATACACACATATTCGCATTCATAATAACACTAAATCTACGCATTATTTTACGTGAATAAAAGTGACAGCGACGAAAGCAACATAGTACTTCGCTCGTAAGGATGAACATGTCTACCGGACTGGAACAGCTGTCTATCAAATATTACGAATCATTAGATTTCAGAAAACGATCTATCATATTTTTTTTTAATCATGTTATATTCTTTCTTTTTCTTTTTCTCTTTTTTTTTTCTTTCTCTCTCTTTCGAGACTTTACATCTTCATTGAAAATATAGGCTTATTAACGAATAGAGAGAATCAAACAGAGCGGATCTTTCTATGAACCGTAATTTTATTATTTTCCCATATATAAATGAGGTTTCGCGCCATCTACAAGTTCCCAACTCCTTCCACCAATCAAAGTGGCGCTAAATACGAATCACTACTCGCGTCGTTGAATATCGATAAATCCAATCGGATAAACTTCCTGTTTTTATCTTTTTTTAAATTTACCTATCTATCATTGTAGAATATACATAATAGACGAAAAACAATAAATCTTTTAGTACAATTTTCTTTTTTTATCTATATACTTTCAATTATGCATCGAAATAAAACTACATATGTGTATATATTTATTTTAAAGAGAGATAAAACAATTATATTAATTAGAATGTAAATCATTCTGATGCCAAAGATGAAATAATTTTTAGTTTAAACATTTGACATGCAACAAATGGTTTATAATTTGTAACTGCTCGTTAAAATAATAAAACAATTAATAAAATTTCTAACCTTCTAACCAATCAAATGAATGATTTATGATCATGTGACTATTGGCTACTACTTCTACTACTGCCATATAATAAATATGACCATAGCAAAATTATTTATACACACGGTTATTCATATTTAATACATTATTGTATTCGTATTTAATTGTTATATTTGTTGTATTTTCAATATGTCACTATAAATATTCAACCAACAAACGAGTAAGGACCAATGACGCGCGATCGTTGAGTAGATTTTACATCATAACATTTATAAAGCTCTGTGATTGGTTGTTGCATGTTGGCGCTTCTTCGTATTTATTGGTTTTATTTTTTTTGTAACAAAGTTATATTTGTTTATTTATGAAAAAATAATTTTATTAATAATCATTAGAATAGATGAGAAAAAATAAATAAATATAAAGATATATTGTTGAAATAAGAAGAAATGTATAAGCTTTTTCATGTAAAATAACTGAAGGTGGCGCCAAAATCTGCCGAAAAGGGACTGTTTTTCGTACACCAAGTGTATCCTACGGCCGTTATTTAAGCGTAAGAAGGACTACTTTAAACGCCTCTTCCTCATTAAGAGTAGAGTTGTATTCACGTGTGGTTGTGTCCCTTCCCAAAATAGGTCACACAACCCACTTCCATTCAATTCGTGAAATAACTCTCCTATAAAAAAATCCAAAAAAAATATAAAATTGCAAAAATACAACCAAAAAAATCGTAAAACTGTTGCTGAAAACCGCGATACTTAAAGAAATTGTGGAAAAAAATAGTAATTGCTTTACGAAGAACGACGTGGTCCGAGGGCAAGCCATATTGAAAGAATCGAGGGAAAGCACAAAGTTGAGAAATTTTCATCTATAAGGGCCCGCAAGACCAGGTAAAAAATAAAAATGAATCCAGGAGCTCCCAATTACCCAATGGCTTCGCTTTACGTGGGAGATTTGCACACTGATATTACCGAGGCAATGCTTTTTGAAAAGTTTTCATCGGCTGGCCCCGTACTTTCCATTCGTGTATGTCGGGATATGATTACGAGACGATCTCTCGGTTACGCATATGTCAACTTTCAACAACCTGCTGATGGTGAGTATTTGATTATTATTATTCCTAAGCATGACAAAATTCCACGCAATTCTCCCTTCCTCCGAGCATCTTGCCATGCTTTATTTATGCGCCTATGGCACGTGCAATGCATTGTGCAAAGCCACCATATTGGATCTCGCAATACTTTGAATAATGGATGACGATTGAACGATTCATGCCGTCTATTCGATGCGTTTATATATTATTTGCTATTTCGAAGAAAAAATTAAAGAAAATACTGATTGTATTATTTTTTTTATTTTTGTATACATTTTTATTTTTGTAACAATGCGTAAGGATTTTAATTTTCTTACAATGATTCCTTTTCTACTACAAACAATCGTTATTATTGTAATTTTATAGTCACATTTGATAATATAAATGTATTATTCTATTTATTTATATAATATTATTCAATAAATAAATAAAATATTCGTTATAATAATCTATTGTATAATGAATTGTAGCCGAACGCGCGTTGGATACTATGAATTTCGATATGATCAAAGGGCGGCCTATAAGGATAATGTGGTCCCAACGTGATCCTTCTCTTCGGAAATCTGGCGTTGGGAACGTTTTTATTAAAAATTTAGATAAAAACATTGACAATAAAGCAATGTATGATACATTTTCTGCTTTCGGTAATATTCTTAGCTGCAAAGTTGCTCAAGACGAGTCAGGTGCATCTAAGGGATATGGCTTTGTCCATTTTGAAACAGAAGAAGCCGCTAACAAATCTATTGACAAAGTTAACGGAATGCTGTTGAATGGGAAGAAGGTAATTTGTTTATTATAGTACATACCTTCTATTGGATTAGATTTATTTACATTTTTTTCTTTTATCTTTAGGTATATGTCGGTAAGTTTATCCCTCGTAAAGAACGTGAAAAAGAATTGGGAGAAAAAGCGAAACTTTTTACCAATGTTTATGTAAAGAATTTCGGAGAAGACATGACCGATGATAAGTTGAAAGAAATGTTTGAGAAATATGGGACCATCATAAGTCATAAAGTGATGAACAAGGATGACGGGAAATCTCGAGGTTTCGGTTTTGTCGCCTTTGAAGATCCTGATGCCGCTGAACAGGCTGTTTTAGAATTAAATGGAAAAGAAGTGGCAGAAGGAAAATGTATGTATGTAGGTAGAGCTCAAAAGAAGGCGGAACGTCAACAAGAATTGAAGAGAAAGTTTGAACAAATGAAGATAGAACGGTTAAACCGTTATCAAGGTGTTAATCTTTACGTTAAGAATTTGGATGACACCATCGACGATGAACGTCTAAGAAAAGAATTTACACCTTTTGGTACCATTACCTCTGCTAAAGTTATGATGGAAGAAGGACGTAGCAAAGGATTTGGCTTTGTATGCTTTTCTGCCCCGGAAGAAGCAACTAAGGCTGTAACAGAGATGAACGGTCGTATAGTAGGTACTAAACCGTTGTACGTTGCTTTAGCTCAACGTAAAGAAGATCGCAAGGCTCATCTTGCTTCGCAATATATGCAACGCATGGCTAACATGCGTATGCAACAAATGGGTCAAATATTCCAACCTGGTGGCGCCGGCAGTTATTATCTACCAACTATTCCTCAACCACAAAGATTTTATGGACCGGCACAAATTTCCCAAATTCGTGCGACACCACGTTGGCCGGCGCAACCAAATCAAGTTAGACCTAATGCGCAAACTGGTAGCTCTGGCTTCGCCGCCATGCAAGGACCGTTTAGAGCTGCTCCGCGAGCTCCTGCCGCTCAACCTGGTACTATGCGCAATACGATATCTGCCAGACCAATTACGGGTAACGTATCGCGTGTACTTTGTTTAAATATTATCCTAGTAGAAAGAGAGAAAGAAAGAGAAAGAGAATATTTAATAAAAATAATTTTTATTGTAGGTCAACAAACGGTAGGCAGCGCAAATATGCAAGGACGTTCTATGGCTGGGCAAGCAGTTGGAGTTTCTCCGCAGAGCCGTCCTTCCAATTATAAATACACATCAAATATGCGTAATCCTCCGCAGGCGATGGCAGTTCCTGCCCAAGCTCCGGTCCAACAGGCAGTTCACATTCAAGGCCAAGAACCATTGACTGCCTCCATGTTAGCAGCTGCTCCTCCACAGGAGCAGAAACAAATGTTAGGAGAACGTTTGTTCCCATTGATACAATGCATGTATCCGCAACTCACTGGGAAGATCACAGGAATGTTGTTAGAGATCGACAATTCAGAACTTCTTCATATGCTGGAGCATAATGAGTCATTAAAAGCTAAGGTTGAGGAGGCTGTGGCAGTACTGCAGGCTCATCAAGCCAAGCAGGCTGTTGCTTCGAAAAAAGAGTAAACCGCCATTCAATTTAAGCTGTCATTTTTATTCTATTATTTTAATTATCTTTTAATTTTTTTTCTTCTTTTTATTTCTTCTTTTTCTTTATTGTCATTTTGCAATTAATCTTCAGTTGAAAAATTTCCTTCTAAAATGCTTTATGATGGCTTAAGCGATTGTTATGTAATGGCGAGGAACAACAAAGTTATATTTGAAAGCTAATATTGATCGCGAGACGATTTTCTTCAAGTTTTATGATAATAAATTTTTCTTTGATGGTAGAAATCGACTCGATTTTTATTCGATCTCCCAATTTTTTCAATTAAATGTGTTCTATTAAGTGTATCACGATCGTGTATAATAATCTTTATAATTTTCAATTAAAGTTTCAAATAAAAATAAAACTTCCTACTGTTAAACCTTTTTTTTAGTTTTTTCTACAAATTCATCTATATGATAAATTTTGTATTATAGAAAAAAAAACCGAATAAAATGGTGTTACATACGAATAAGAAAATGGAAAAACGAAACATTTCCAGTGGTTCCTGTTAATAAACTTTTAAAATACGCGCCTTCCGAGTAATTTATTATTGCAATTATAATATGAATTGTGGTTGGTCAATTGATCACGTGGTACTTTATACTTGATACATGATAGGTTAGCTTCTTTCAATCGTGAAAGTGTGACACAGCCCAAATATAATTTTCGATCGTATGTATGGTACAAATAATGTACAATCAAGAGGAAATGTGCGAAGGATTATATACGTAGCTGTGGATTAACTGTTATAAAGCGCCGGATGTATTATTAGAATAACTCTAATTACATATAGGTGGAATTATACATATATGAAGGATCGAATAAAGCCGGTTAGTAATTATTTTGCACAATAAATATTTCGCGAATTAGACATTAAGAGATATATAACAAGTTCAATATACATATGATATATACGAACATTGTAATTAAGTAGTTCAGGCACGATTGGTTGAAATCGTTTAGAAGAAATGACTTTGATTATGTCGTAATATATAGATTAATATATAGATTATCGAACTATTTATAAACAATTCAATAATTACGAATAATTTTCCATTAAAGATTTATTTTTTTTTGACATGTATTTGTATATACATATATACTAATGAAAAGAAATTGATTTCTCTTTTCGCATACTCAATTGGAAATATTTTCTACGTCACACTTTAATTTGTACGTAGCCTACATATTTGAGAGTTCGGTGCAGATTATTATTAAAGGTGCGATTCAAATATGCGCAAATATGCTCATATATTAAAGGAATGTATTTATATATTTTCAATACATATTTCATTTATTTTGTTTACGAAATCTCATTAGATGAACCATTTCATTAGATATTCTCTGTCAAAATCATACGTAAAGGGTATTTTTCTCTAAGTATTAAGAAACGCGTATGGTCGCTTAACGACACGTATACGTATACGTATATGTATGTGAAAAGAACAAATAAAAAGCAATATTGATATAAATTTGTATATCGTTAAATAATTAATGTTAATGTTATTAAACACACATAGGAAACGTTAAATATATTTCACAGATTTGTACTTGAGGAAAGTTATAAACTATTTGATACAATTGAATTTATTTGACATATGAAGCATCCAAAATGGATTATGATAAGGTCGTAACAAATTTGCGTGCAGTATTACTGTCCGCTAAAGGAGGTATTCCCATAAATGAAATAAACCGTAAGTTGGAAAATTATTAATATATCATACGTACTGAAATATATTTCTTCAAATTTACACCATAATCATTTTTTCTTCATTTGTAATAATACAGAAGATTTTAAATTAATTATTGGGGAAAATATACCATATCGCAAACTTGGCTATCAATCTCTGGAAACTTTCTTAAAGTCAATATCTGGAATTAAAATTATTAATAAAGGTAGACAAACGTTCGTAGAAGTTTCTAGTGAAAAGTCTTCTCATCTTTCTAAACTAGTATCACGACAGAAGAGTAGGAAAAAGGTTGCTTTCATTTGATATAGTAACATAAGTTACGTATAAGATATTTGTCTTATACGATATGTATTTTTATTATCTTTTTATGTACTATTTAATCACAGAAAAGTTTCCATCACAATTCAATGCCATGTCGAATTCCACGTTTAACCAGGAAGGTCGTTGACTCTGGGAAAAATGTTAATGCAAATTCTTCCATGCTAACTAAAAATTCGATGAAAAACAACGCTAGTTTCAAACAAGAAAAGTATATACTTTTTTAATCATAGAATAAAGTACAAAATGATAGGTTTTATTTAGAAAAAAATGTGATTCATTATTTATTCAGGATCATACCTCTCTTGCAAGTTCCAACAGAATATGCACCTCTTTCTTCTTTAGAAAGACCCAGATATATTCAAGCGGCTTCAGAATCATTTACTTCTCCTAGCAAAGTAAACACTTTATATATATCCATACTTGATAATAATATTCTTATAAAATTAAATGATTAAAAAATGAATTATTTATATTTTTAGAAATTGAAGGATAGAAAATCAAATACTATTCAAATGATAATTAATCAAAATGTTAATAAATTTAACAACGATATCTTTTCTAAAAACAATGGCAATAGTGACAAGTCTTCTCAACCTGCGATAACATTTAAACCAAACACCCTGCAAGAACATTTAAAAGTTTGTAATAATGAAAAATCGTCTTCCAATATAAGCGGAAGGCTTAAAATTAATTCAAACATTCCATCCCATTCTCTTATATGTAATAACGTATCGACGCCTACAAATTCTGAAATACTATCGCCATTATCTCCTGCGCAACTAATAGGAAACAAATTAAAATCATCTTCGACCACAGAACCATTAAAAATCTTGGTATGTATATATATTTTTATAAGATATAAAAACCTTTCTAGAAATTGTCAAGACAAATATAAATGTTTATTTCTGTTTAGGTGCAAGAAACTAATCAGAAAGAAACAGTTTTGAAATCAACTTTGGTATTCAAAGAAGATCCAAGACATCAATTAAGTATCTGTGCAAAGAATTTTAATTTACCCGAACCTATATACAGGATATTATCAACAACTGATAAAAGTCCAACGGTAATGGCTATATATGCTCATGTCAAGGTACGCTATATCTTAATTATTAAACTATTCTTTTAAGTAATATATTGTTAATACACATGTATAGATAGGATCGTACGGATATAGTAATTATCCACACGATGCAAGTTCCAACGACGAAGCTCAAAAATTAGCAGCTAAAATAGCATTGAAGGATCTTATTGATAAATTTGGTTCATTGTCTAACGTCACGGAAACTATCGATAAAAAATTAATACAAAATCGTATAAAACAAATCGTGGATACTCACATGAATGGAGTTTTCAAAGATCAAATACCTGCATATTACAAACAAAGATACGGAGGGTGCTTACCTGCAGGTTGGTTTAATATCATTGAAGAATGCCCTGAGATTATATTAGAGAAAGGTGCTGATAATTCTATTATTTTACAACGATATGAGATTCGAACGGAAAAGGTAAAGCATTTCAATTTATTGACGAACTTGTGACTTTCATTTTTATTTTTCACTATATTTATCATTTTTTTCAAACTTCACAAGAATATTTATACAGAGTATTTGTATTTTTATTTTAGGCATTCCATCCCATTTCAACAAAATCGGATAAAATATTATTGAATCCGATAGGATCAATAATACCAGGACAATTGCAATTGCCTGAAGATCAATATTGGATTGTATATGTTTGTAATATCATGAGTACAGTCGATGTTTGGGTTCGAATTGGTGGTGCTAATTATAGCGTAAGAGCTAATATTAACAATTTTATGATCAATAATTAAGCAATCATTTGTAAATATTTTTGACAAATATTAACTTTATTCGACATTCAGGACAAATTTGATATTATGATAGCCGATATGATGGAATATTATGGTAGAAGCCAATCTTCTGTTAAATTAGTCGAGATAGGAGGTTATTATGCAATATTCGAAGATGATTCTTGGCATAGAGTTCGTTGTGAAGAATTCGATAATACCACTGGGGTTGTTACTGTCTTATTCATCGATCATGGCGATGAAGTTAAACGTTCCTTAAGAGATTTACGTATATTGGATAAAAAGTTTTGCAGCTTACCGGCTCAAGTAATATTCTATTAGATATGCATGCACAAGATATGTACAAGTCAATGACAACAAATTTATTTTTCCTTTTCTAGGCAATACGTGTTTGTTTAGCTGGTTTGGAAGACTTGCGAGATTATGAAGCTGTTTTACCTCGTATAGAATATTTATTACTTGGCTTAAGTTTTTATGTCGAAGTTCTTAATCATGGCTTTGATAAAGATGGTCCATACGCAACGGTTAACTTTTACGATACAACTGGTCCGGAAGATGTCAATTTAAATAAAGTTCTATATAAACAGATATTAAACGATGTAGCTTCATCACAAATGGAGCTTGTAAGTGATTATTTCTTCTCTCTTAAGTTTTCTCTAATATGTACATTTGTACATTTGCTTTCAGACAGAGGATGTTACAGAAGTTTTAGTCTCGTACGTAGACAAAAATGGCGATATTTACATTCAGATGCAAACGGAGGGAATGAAGTACTTATTTGGTTTGATAAATCGGTTGACGCAAACTAGATTAACTGAAGATATTTTGGGAAACAGTACAGTTACTGTTATTGACAGAATGAAAAAATATCTTGTATCCTTCAATGGAAATTGGTATAGAGGAGAAGTGGCGAATATTTATCCAAATAGTCAAATTAAGATGTTCTTAATTGATTTTGGCACTACAGTGATTGTGAATAAAGCCAATTTATTGCATTTGGAATACCTTTCTGATTTGTTAAATAAATTTCCTGCACAGGTTAAATCTTTTTTCTTCTGCTTGTGTAAAGTGGTACGTATCATATATAATTTAGTAAATGTGTATATTTTTCAGGCTATTAAAGTAAATCTCCACGATATTGAGAAATCAATGTTTAATGAGAAGATGGTTTCTCGGCTAAGGAAGCTTGTTCCACATGGTCAACCGATTCTTATAAAGGCGATTTCACATTCGTCTGTCAATACACCATTAGTAGAAATATTTAAACGTATTCAACCTGATAACATTCTTGCTTCTATTAATACTACCTTAGTTTACGAAGAACTCGAAAGGTATATTAGGATAATAATAATGTACAAAATCATTATTTTTTTTTCATTATTATGATTTGAATGTAGTAGAACTATTGGAGATGGTAATAACAATGTCAAGTTGAAAAAACGTATTACGTCTCGAGTTGCAACGAATGAAAACGACGATGTTATAAAAACATTAAAGCCTCCGAAGATCGCAGGAATTCGCGAATTTTTTGATGTACATGTTACAATGGCTGCCAATCCTGGAAATTTTACTGTTCAACCGCTCGATGACAAACGATCTTTAGAGGTATTGTCAATATTTATTTTATTCCAATTGATTTGTCATTATTTGATATGCTTATTAAATATTAATTCAGGTAATGATGATCGAATTACAAAAAGTTTGTTTGACTTATCAAGGATTGTATCCAACGATTGAATCGATTAAAGAAGGCAATTTTTATGCGGCTAAACATAAAGATAAGCATTGGTATAGGTAAATAATATAATATTTTTATATCATTATTATATATTTCGAATATATTTTCTTATTATCCAAATGATATTTTCTAGAGTAAGCGCTATGAATATTATCGATGAAAATATGGTTACGGTATATTTCTGTGATTTCGGTGACGTATGTATTCTATCATTAGACAAATTACAACCTTTGAAAAGTCAGTTTTTAGAATTACCATATCAAGCGATAAAGGCCAAGCTAGTCGGTAAGTCATTTAAATGGACATAACATAATGGATCATATCTACAAATTCAGTATATACATTAGTATACAAATTGTATCAATTATTACAATAATTACAATTATTAGGAATAAGGCCTATTAACAAGGATTGGTCGGTGGAAGATTGCTTAAGATTTCAACAGTTGGTATTAGAAAAGAACTTTGTATCTATAATCATTGAATCGACTCGCGACGACAAAAATCCTGTTGAAACTATACTTGGTCTAAAATTGATAGACGTAGAGACATCGGAAGACATTTTCATTGATCAACTTTTAGTAGACGAAAATCGTGCTGTATTTATAGACTGAATTGATTATCCTAGTAATAAATCAGGATAGTAATACCAAAAGTTATTATACATTTCTACATTGAAACAAAAGTAATAAGATAAAAAAAATGATAAAAAAAAAATGATAAAA